TGTGTGTGATATTAATAATACTGTTTGATAATCTCCACATTTGGTTGGATCACCTTTCTTTGGAGTGGGCACAAATATTGATATCTTCCAGTCCGTTGACCAGGTATCTGTCTTCCAAATTTCTTGACATAGATGAGCGAGCACCTCCAGTGCTGCATCCTTTTGTTGAAACATCTCAGTTGGGATTCCATCAGTTCCTGAAGCCCTGTTTTCCACCAATGCCTTCAGCGCAGCTTGGGCCTCTTCCTTCAGTATCATCAGTTCGTCATCATATGCTACCTTTGGAAATGGTTGAATGTCAACCAATTCTTTTTGCTATAGTGACTCTGTGTATTCCTTCCATCTTCTTTTGATGCTCCCTGTGTCGTTCTGTATTTTCCCCATAGAATCCTTCCATATTGCAACTCGAGGTTCGAATTTTTTCTTCAGTTCTTTCAACTTGAGAAATGCCAAGCATGTTCTTCCCTTTTGGTTTTCTAACTCCAGGTCTTTGCACATTTCACCGTAATACTTTACTTTGTCTTCTTGAGCCTCTCTTTGAAATATTCTGTTCACCTCTTTGACTTCATCATTTTTTCCATTTGCTTCAGCTACTCTATATTCAAGAGCAAGTTTCAGAGTCTCTTCTGACATCCATTTTGGTCTTTTCTTTGTTTTTAATGACCTTGTGCTTTCTTCATGTATGATATCCTTGACGTCATTCCACAATTCGTCTGGTCTTCGGTCATTAGTGTTCAATGTGTCAAATCTATTCTTGAGATAGTCTCTAAATTCAGGGGAGATATACTCAAAGTTGTATTTTGGCTCTTGTGGACTTGTTATAATTTCTTCAGCTTCAACTTACATATGAGCAATTGATGGTCTGTCCCGCAGTCCACCGATGGCCTTGTTCTGACTGATGATATTGAGCTTTTCCATTGTCTCTTTCCACAGATATAGTCTATTTGATTCCTGTTTTATCCATCCAGTGAGGTCCACGTGTATACTCACCATTCATGTTGTTGAGAAAAGGTATTTGCAGTGAATAACTCATTGGTATTGCAAAATTCTGTCATGATCTCTCTGGTGTCGTTTCTATCACCAAGGCCATGTTTTTCAACTATCGATTCTTCGTCTTTGTTTCCAACTTTCTCATTCCAATCCCCAGTAATTACCAATGCATCCTGATTGCATGTTTGATCAATTTCAGACTGCAGAAATTGGTAAAAATCTTCAATTTTCTCATCTTTGGCACTGGTGGTTGGTTAGTAAATTTGCATAATAGTCATATTAACTGGTCTTCCTTGTAGGCATATGGATATTATCCTATCACTGAAAGCATTGTCCTTCAGGATAGATCTCGAAATGTTATTTTTGACAATGAATGAAACGTCATTCCTCTTCAATTTGTCATTCCTGGCATAGTAGACCATAAGATTGTCTAATTCAAAATGGCCAATACCAGTCTATTTCAGCTCACTAATGCTTAGGATATGCATTCCATTTGATTTTTGACAACTTTGCATTTTTCTAGATTCATACTTCGTACATTTTATGTTCCAATTATTAATGGATGCTTGCAGCTGTTTCTTCTCATTTTGAGTCTCGCCACCTCCGCAAATCAAGGTCCCGAAAGGTTTACTTCATCCACATCATTAAGGTCAAGTCTATTTTGAGGAGGCAGCTCTTCCCTAGTTGTCTTTTGAGTGCCTTCCAACCTGAGGGGCTCATCTTGCAGCTCTATATCAGACAATGTTCTGCTGCTATTCATAAGGTTTTCACTGGCTAATTCTTTTCAGAAGTAGACCACCAGGTCCTTCTTTCTAGTCTGTATTAGTCTAGAAGCTCAGCTGAAACCTGTCAGCCATGGGTGATCCTACTGGTATTTGAATACCGGTGGCAAAGCTTCCAGGATTGCAGCAACACGCAAGCCCCACAGTACAACAAACTGACAGGAGCTTAGATTGTCCCATCTTCGGCTAGAGGGAATCTTTTCAGGTTGGCTCCGGAGCCTCCTCAAGTTAGCTGCGGAGTCCTTTTGACAGGTCCTTAGTAGTCTTTGTTTTTTGCCATTTAGTTTGACAGAACGTTCAGCTTCATTAATACTTTTACTGCCCCTGACCTAGAATCAGCCGTTTCTTCAAGGAGTCTTTTTTTTTTTTTTTGGTGGTGGGGAGACCTGTAGTGTGGAGAGGTAAGAAGGGGCAATTGTATGGGGTCATATAAAAGGGGTGCAGTATTGGAAGTAACAAAGAGCAGTTTCGTCTCCAACTTCTGCTCTGCCTTCTTTGCCCACTTTCAGCTCCCCGCCCAGAACAAGGGTGTATAAAGAAGAGGTGGGAGTGAAAGCTGGGGAGTGGGGTAGATCAGTAGTGGGGCCCTAGACAGGCTATGTCTTCCCCTTTCCCACCTACCATGCAAGAATATTCTATAGAATGTTCTATACTAACAGAGTGACGCTGTACCAGTCAGCACTAGAATTAACTGAAACTGAGGGTGGTGGATAGCGGGAGACGGGGAAAGACGGATACTGGGCTGTTGGACTGTTCTGTGGCAAAATCTACTTGGACAAGGAAAGAGGTATGTGGATCTCTGGTGGCAGAAAGGAAAAAAATAAAAATCTGTGGTTGGCCCAAATGGAGAGATTATATACCTAAGATGTTATACTAGCCAGCACCTATGGGATACTATGTAACAGAAACCATTTTAAGCATGTTTTGTACATTGATTCATTTAATCTTGGCAAAAATCCCATGAGGTAATTGCTGTTAAAACTCAAAAACCATTGCCATCGAGTCAATTCTGACACATAGTACCCTATAGAACAGAGTAGAACTGCCCCATAGGGTTTCCAAGGTGTGGCTGGTGGTTTCAAACTGCTCCTTTTGATTAGCAGCCGTTGTCTTAACCACTCAGTTTTACAGATGAAGAAACAGGTAATCAACCCACCAAATGTCAAATGGTAAGTGGCAGAGCTGGGGTTAGAACCCAGGTGGTTTGGCTCCCGAGTCCATGAGTCTAAGCCTCCAATATGGGATACTGCTGAAAATTATAAAAGCATCACATGACATAGGTATACGATGTATGTAAGTATTGACCTTTTCCTCCTTCATAGTTGAAGACATTGCTGGTAATGGTGGTCCCTCTGGCACCAGATTGACCCCTCTGAGAACCAAATTCCATCAGCTTCTTTTTAAGGGTTGAGGCCTCCGTCAGTCAGTCAGGATCTTATGGCTCAGGGTGAGACTCATGTTCAGTAACTGTCCACCAAGTGAGGACAAACTCTGTGCCAGCTGATAAATTGTCACAAGCACTATCGCCTCTCACGTGACTGATTTATTAATACTAATGTAGTTGTTCTCCTATTGAATTTTAATTCAGATAGAAGTAAACGTGGAATGACTATGATTTTTGGCAATATGTTTGCATTTTTCATTCTAGACAGAAATAATAGCAGTATCTTTCTTTTATTTTAAATTCTGACCCTTCCCTCTCTTTGACTTATAAAGAAAAGTTGCTATGGAGTCATCTCTGACTCATGGTGACTCCATGTGTGTCAAAGTAGAACTATGCTCCATAGGGTTTTCAATGGTTGATTTTTTTGGACATGGATTGCCAGGCCTTTCTTCCAAGGTGTCTTTGGGTGGACTTGAACTACCAATCTTTCAGTTAGCAGCCGAGTATGTTAATGGTTTGTACAACCCAGGGACTCCTCCTTGACTTTACCTTCCACATTATTTTTGTTCTGTGTATGTTAGGTGCTGTCAAGTTGGTTCTGACTCATAGTGACCCTATGTACAACAGAACAAAACACCGCTCGGTCCTGTGCCATCCTCACAATTGTTGTTATGCTCGAGCCCACTGTCGCAGCCACTGTGTCAGTCTACCTCGTTGAGGGTCTTCCTCTTTTTCACTGACCCTCTACTTTACCAAGTATGATGGCCTTCTCCATGGACTGATCCCTCCTGATAACATGTCCAAAGTATATGAAATCTCACCATCCTTGCTCCTCGCAATATGCATACATGGGAAATATTAGGGTGCGAAATGTAATCTATGTGGTCAATGAATCAACCAATTCATCCCCCCTCCACTGTGTGCCTACTGTGAGCACAGTTCTAGGCACCCAAGATAACAGAGGCAAACAAGACACAATCTCGAGGCTCATGGAATCAGTTGGAGGTCAAGTATTTGCAAAATAAATAAGACAGACACGATCATTTCAGATAAGGATAGATATATTCAGAAAGAAAAGAAGACATAATGGTGTTTGAGAGATGACCGAGAATCAGGCAGAATTATTCTGTAGACACCACATCCTGTTTAAGGAGCATTTATTAAGCACTGGTTGTCTTAAGCATTGGGGATACAGAGAAAGAGTAAAACATAGTACCTACCTGGATGATACAAATGATTAATGCACTCAGTAGCTAACCAAAAGGTTGGAGGTTTGAATACGCCTAGAGGTGCCTCGGAAGAAAGGCCTGGAGATTTACTTCCCAAAAATCAGCCATTGAAAACCCTGTGGAGGACAGTTCTACTCTGACACACAAGGGGGCGCCATGAATTGGAGTCTTGATAACAACTGGTGATCCTCTGTAGCAGCAGCAACGAACAGATAGGAAACCAAGTTCCAAGTGCGTTGACCTGTGTGACCTTCCTTTGAATGATCAGGGAAAACTTCCTCAGGATAACGATGACGTAAAAATGTGAATGGCACCAAAAGCATGCCTGGCTCAAATGCAGAGAGTCAGCCATTGCTCCTAAACTGGCTTTTATTATGACACCAGCTTGAAACATCCACCCCGCGGAAGTCTTTGCTCCCTGGATCGGAACTTTAAGCCTGTGTTTGTTCCTTACACAAGCCTTCTGAATCAGCTTCTCCCAGTAGCATTTAAAACATGCGAAGCTGGTATTGCTTACAAAACACGCGGCAAATAAAATCTGATAAGCAGAGTCGGCCCACTCACCTGACCTGTAGTGGAGCTGGCCGCCTCCCTGGCTTCGATTGAATACGAGCAATGAACATGGAGAAGGTCAACTCCGTGGACTTCGGAGACTTTGTGGAAGTGTTTGGGAATGTCATTGAGAGATGTCCTCTGGCTGCTGCCGCCGTGCGGTCTCAGCGCCCGTTCTCTGATCTGGAAGACTTAGAGAAGCATTTTTGTACCTTCATCGATGCCCTTCCACGGTCAGGTAAAGCTTTCCTGTCCGACACAGAGAGTCTCTACAGAGAGATTTCCATGGTGATTATCAAAATCTTTTCAGATAGTTGCTTATATTTGTACTCTAGCTGCTTATCACTGATATGTAGTGAAACCTGCGAACGCCAGAACCTGCGTAAGGTGGAAACCTGTCAGAGAAGGAACACTCAAATATTTTCCACTAACAGAGACTGATAGAAAAGTAGTAAGACTGCACCCTGTCAAGGCGGGAAGCTGTGGAGCCCCAGAAAACAAGGCAGTCCCCTCGAGTTCTGGCTCTCTCAGGTTTCACTGTGTTTATTTAGCTATTTATGTTTCGAGGCTCCGTGAACTTTCCCAAAGCTGAGTAAAAGACAGTCAAGCCCTTGCTGGGCATTAAACCCAAAGTGGGATGAAATAAAGCATCCTAGCTAAGTCCCTGGTGGCCTCGTGGTTAAGAGCTAGGCTGCTAACCAGAAAGCTGGCAGTTCGAATATGCCAGCTGCTTCTTGGAAGCTCTATGGGACAGTTTTACCTTGTCCTATAGGGTCGCTATGAGTCGGGGTTGACTTGATGACAAAGGTTTTCATTCTTTCCTTTTTAGCTGAAGAGAAGCGGCTGTTTAATATTAGAACTACGAGGTCACACGAAGGGGGAAGCAGAGCGGCCTCCTCCTCAGGTTGGGGACTGAAGGCCTCACCGTAACTCACAGGCCGAGGGTTCAGCCGAGGGCCCACCTCTCTCAGCCCCGCGTGTTCACTTTGGGAGTGCCCTATATGCACGAGAGGAGACAGCCCGATATCACACTATCTCTGGAGCCCCGGGGAACAGAGCAGATGGCTGACATTTTCACCAGAAAGAGCCAGTTTGGACTGGGCTGCGGAGGAAGGTAAACCATTTCAGATCAGCAACTCCCTGGGGAAATGAGGGGAGAGATGGGGATCTGAAGGACTCCTTCTGGAGAAAGGGGAAGAGATTACCAGATTCCTCTGGGTGGGTAGGTAGGAAAAACAAGGCGCTTCCCGGTGTGGGGTGAAGAGATGAGGGGCACAGGTTTAGGCAGACCCCAAGTGGCTCAGGATGGCACACTGCCTCACAGTGAGTCAGAGGCCAGGGTTAGGCGGTCTCATTGCTGTGCCTGATACTGCAGCCCTGAAGTAGGCGGAAGGGGTCGTAAGGCCAGGGCTGCCTTCATAGCATTTCCACAGAGATATGGGGGCGACGAGGGGGAGAATTCTGGCTTCCTTTGTTTTATGGGACTCCCTGGGTGATGCAAACAGTTAATGCACTCAGCTACTAACCAGAAGGTTGGCAGTTCAAGTTCACCCAGTGGTACCTCAGAAGAAAGGCCTGGAGAGCTACTTTCAAAAACTCATCCCTTGACAACCCATGGGGTTGCTGTGAGTCGGAGTCGACTTCATGGCAACTGGTTGATTTCTGTTCTATGATGAAACCAACCAACCAAGTATTGCCATGCTAGATGGTTTCCAGTGATCAGATGGAAGTCTCCAAAATAAGGAAATCATTTTAATTCGTTTTAAGCAGATCTAAGAAGAGTAGGGAGCCCTGGGGGTGCAGTGGTTAAGAGCTCAGCTGCTAACCAAAAGGCCGGCAGTTCGAACCCACCAGCCACTCCTTGGAAACCCTATGGGGCAGTCCTACTCTGTCCTATGGGGTTGCTATTAGTCAGAATCGACTCGATAGTAACAGGTTTGGTTTGGTTTTGAGGAAGAGTAGAGGGTACTGTTATAAAATCAAATGGACAAAAAAGTTGGGCCAGTGCTGACACCCACACTTCCCGGCACCTCTCCAAAGCTGAAGGAGCCCTGGTGGGGAAGTGGCGAAGCACTTGGCTGCTAACCGAAAGGTTGGCAGTTCAAACTCACTAGCTGTTCTGTGGGAGAAAGATGTGGTGATCTGCTCCCATAAAGATTACAGCCTTGGAAACCCTTTAGGGCAGTTCTACTCTGTCCTATAGGGTCACCATGAGTTGGAATTGACTCAACGGCAATGGGTTTGGTTTTTTGTCTCCAAAGCTGATCTCTGTAGCTCCTCTGTGGTTCAGGCAGGAGACAGTAAGGGGAGCTGGTAGTCACAAGACCTTGTAACTAGTAACTCACAGCAACAGCCCAGCCTCAGGCTGGATAAATGAATTAATTGACTCCTGCTCAAGAGAACAAAGCCAGCAGAGCAAGCAGGAAAGAGCAAGAGGTCAGCCAAGCCCATGTTTAAGATGTTTGGCAGGAGAATGGAGGAGGCAAAATGAAAGCCTTCTAAGCCAGAAGGGGAAATGATTTTAAAGGATGTGAGTGACCTTCTGAGTGATCTTTTTTCTTACCAGGAAAAAAGAAAAAGGAGAAAAATCCCATGATGTCTCTCAATACCCAAAAGGGTGGTGGGGCTGGAGAGGAAACGCGTTGAGAGAGAAAGCGAGATAGTGCGGAGAATTTAAATCTATTATTCATTTGTTTCTCCAATTATTCAACAAATGTTTATTTCCTGTTCACTCGAATCCAGGAACTTAGATAATAAAAGAAAAAAATCTCTCTTATTTCCAGCTTCTTTCTTACCAGAACTCACCCCAACTCATCTGACCAGAGCTTCTAGCTGAGGTTAAATTGTCCTAAGCACAGTGGGGTTGGGGGCGTAATTTGGCATCTCTCCTTCACTCCTGATCGCTCTCCTGACTCGATGGAACCTCTGTATTCTGATTCATGTCAGTATCCTGGATCCCTGAGTGAATATCGGGACTCAATATTGGGATGTTGTTGTTAAGTGCTCTGGAGTCAATTTTGGACACATAGCAACTCCATGTGACAGAGTAGAACTGCTCCATAGGGAGCAGATTGCCAAGTCTTTCTCCCCCGGAGCCGCTGGATAGGTTCAAATCGCCAGCCTTTTGGTTAGCAGCCAAGTACTTAACCATTGGGCCACCACGGCTCCTTATTGAGATACTAGGATTCAATAAAGATTTGTTGAATGAATGAATGACCTGGTTTGTAAGGCGATCTTGAAAGATGATGGATCCTGGCTTTAGGAACAGTAGGTCAGTGGGACAAAATGGCTGAAGGAGTATTGGGCCAATCGGACAGTGTTTGCTTCTGCACTGGACACAATTTCTTGAGGGACTTCCCTGCCAGTGGAGTCCACTCCTCAGCTCTCTGTGGTGTCTACACGTCCCTTAGATGGGCAGTTGGGCCCAGAGCCTCAGTGCTGGGTAACTCTCCGTATCTAGTCATCTTAATGACAAGATAGACGACATGGGCGATAGTAATAATAATCACAGTACCTCAAAATTTATTGACCTCTTACCGCAGCTGTGTTCCAGGTACTTTTCCAAACACTTTGCATTTGTTAACTCATTGAAACCTCATAACAACCCTATAAAACAAGTATTATTATACCTAGTTTACAAATGATAAAACTAAGGCAACAAGAGATTAAGTACCTTGAGCAAGGTGGCCGAACTGGGATTGAAACTCGGACAGTCAAGCCAACAGCTTTTGAAGGATTTTCCAGAAGGCTAGAAATAAAGTATAAAAAGTTTCCAAGGGTTTCATTCATTCATCCACTCATTTATTCAATTAACATTAATGCTTGAGGTCCCAGACTCCACATTTGGTTTTCAAATAGTCAAATGAAATGGGATTTTTTTTTTTTTTTGGCATAGTCTAGCTTTACCCCTTGTATAGTAAAGAACAAACTGGATGTTACGAAGTCTTTGAATTATAAAACTAGAAGGGATTTTGGAGAGACGTTCAAGAAGAGGTGATCTACCTGCTCAGTGACTTGTTTTGGGTGATCTGAGAAAACCATCCACCATTAAAGAAAACTGAAAACCGTTTCTAGAGAAAACCAAAGTTGACAATACATTTAAGTTATGTTATGATGATCATTAGCCAGTAGGTGGCAGGCCAGGATTAATATTCAGGTGTAGCACTAGCTTGCAACATGTCCTCTAGCCAGTCAATTCCAAAGGTTAAAGATTAGGGGAAGGAGCCCTGGTGGTGCAGTGGTTTAGTGCTGGACTGCTAACCCAAAGGTCAGTGGTTCAAACCCACCAGCTGCTCCGCAGGAGAAAGACCTGGCAATCTGGTTCCAGAAGATTACAGCCTTGGAAACCCTATGGGGCAGTTCTACTCTGTCCTATAGGGTGGCCATCATGATAATAGGTTCGGGAAAGATGAGGGAAAGACTTTCCTGGTAGGAGGAATGGCAATAGTAAAGTGAGAAGGGTTGAAACAGACAATTTTCACAATAGGGTTAATACATCCCTTTTTGGCATTTCAGAATTGCAATAATATTAGATAATGTCATAATTCATTATTATAATTATAATTAATTGTTTAATATTTATTACAGAACATATTTGTTGAATGAATTAATGAATGAATTATCTACTAATAATTCCCTTAAAATGCAGGCTATAAGGTTTCTGTATTAAAAAGAACTCATTGCTGTCCAGTCAGTTCCAACGCCAAGTGAACCTATAGGACAGAGTAGAACTGCCCCATAGGGTTTCTTAGGCTGTAATCTTTATGGAAGCAGATCAACAGGTCTTTCTCCTGAGGAGTGGCTGGTGGGGTTCAAACTGCCGACCTTTCGGTTAGTAGATGAATGCTTAACCACTGGGTCACCAGGGCTGCTTTAATAGTCTAAGACAGAAAGAGTTCCTTCCTCTTTTCGAGTTTTAAAATGTTTTCACTTTGTTTGTAGTTGTTAGTTGCCACTGAGTCGATTCTGACTCATGGCAATTATTCAGGCAAAAAATATGTAACACACCTTCCCAAGAGTGATGTCTGTCAATGAATACTCAATGAGTGCTTTGTTTCAGGCACTGGGGATAAAGTACTGAACAAGACCCTGTCCTCAAGGAGCTTACATTCTAGTAAAAAGAGATGGGTGATCAACATAAATAGATACTAATAAATTAATATAATAACAAAATAATTTTAGATTCTATACTTATTATGAAGGAAACACATAATAAAGTAGGTCTTTCCTAGGAGATGCCATTTGAGTTCAAAACTGAAGGATGAGAAAGAAGCAGCCAAAGATGTAGGAAACTGGAATGAACTTGACACTTTGGGGGCACAGAAGGACCAAGGTGGTTGGAGAATAGTGAATGGTGGAAGGATTTGAGGAAAGAGAGGAAGGTAAGGTCCAGATCATGTAGAGCTTTCTAGGTATAGTAAGGAATTTTTATTTACACCATTTGCATTGAGACACCATTGAATTCACCCTCTAGAATGATCACGTACAGCAGACAGAGGGAGATCAGGTCAAAGGGCTGTTACGGTAGTTGTAACAGTGACAGATAATGGTTGCTTGGATTAGGCTTGTAGTAATAGAGATGAATAGACGTGGTTGGAGTCTCAGAATATATTTTAAAGCTAGAGCCAGCAGGCTTTATCGACGAACTCGGTGGGTGGGGGTGGATCAGAAACAATGAGGTTTTAACACCTACGTCTTTAATTTGATCAACTGGATGAGTAATGGTGCCATTTTCTGAGATGAGGAAGACTTAGAATGGAGAGGAAAGGACAGAGGATGAGAATATGCTAAGTTTGAGATGACTTATTAGTCATCCAAATGAAAATGCTGAGTACTCTGCTGGGCCATAACCAAGGAACTCAGTGGAAAGAAATGGGCTAGACTAGATTGGGGTGTCATCAAAGAATTGATGGTATTTAAACCATCCTTGTAAATAGAGAAAGGAAGAGGTGTGAGTACCGGGTCCTGGGGTGGTTTGAAGTTTGTGGTCTGGTCTGGCAAAGGATGGAGAACCAGAGGTGAAAGTAGGCAGTGGTGTCTCAGAAGGCAAGTGATTATAATCTTTTAAGAAGGAGAGAGAGCCAACCATGTGACAGTCTCCTGGGAGGTTGAGAACCAAGAAGACAGAGCATTGGTCTTCGGGCTTTGGCAAGATGTAGGTTGTCTGTGATCCTGATAAGAGTGGACTAGGTGTGGTGGGCCTGAAAAGTTGATAGAAGGACCTGGGGACAGGAGGTGAGGAAAACAGAAACATAGAATAAGCAACTCTTTTGAGGAGTTTTGCTGTAAGAAGGAGCAGAAAAATAGGGAGAAACTAAAGGGCAACAAGAAATCGAGGGAAGATTTTTGTTTTGTTTATGGGGTGTGAATCTAAGGTATGTTTGTATGTTGTTGGTGAAGAGGCGGTGGAGAGGGACAAATAGATGTTCAAAATTGCAGAAATAAAGTCTTTGAGAAAGAAAGAGGGGCCAGCTTCAAGAGCACAAATGGAGGGGATGGCCTTCGATAGAAGGGACGAGTCAGGCATTGTACCAGGAGGGAGGACACAGTAATGGGTACAGATGCTGGGATGCTGGTGGACGGTTAGCAGGTTCGGGGCCTTTTGCCTGCTCTTCGGTGACCACCACTGCCTGCCCAGTTCTTCTCCTTTTGAAATAATGAGTGTCTGCTCTGTGCTAGGAACTCTTCTAGGTGCAATATTTCATGATGTGCGGTCCTCACAATATCGCATGTCCACATCTCTACTCCTAGACAGGATATAGGACATGGCACCCCAATGGCACAGACAGTAAGTCCAGGATTCTGGGAAAGACTTTGAAGAACAGGCAGCACTGAGCCGGCCCTGTGACCCACGGAGCATCTACTGTCCTAGCTAGAACTTAGGCATTCCAGTGGGAAGACCAATAGACATAGCAGGCAGGTAGGAAGGACTCACCTGCAGTCTCCTGCCTCCCGCTGGGGACATGGTGGGAGGTACGTCATGGTTGCTGCGTTGGAGGAGGAACTGGGTTGCTGTGAGGTCGGAAAGGCAGACTCAAGGAGTCAGTAGTTTGGGGCAATGAAGATGGAGTCTTTGGGCTGAGCTGTGTCAGGTTCTATTTCTCCCAAACTACCATCCACTAAGGAGAGGTGGTGGAGCAATGGTTAGGTGCTCCGCTGCTAACAGAAAAGTTGATTTGAACCCACCAGCCACTCCGTGAGAGAAAAGAGCTGGGGATCTGCTCCTATAAAGATTACAGCTTAGGAAACACTATGGGGCAGTTCTACTCTGTCGTACAGGGTCGCTATTCCACAGCATACAACAACAACCATTCCCTACACGGCTCCCTGCAACTTTTCCTTTTATCTGCAGCCAAGGGCTTTTTTGTTGTTGTTTTCATTCCAGTTATTCCTTGTTAATCTCTTTTCCTCTTCTCTCTGCTCTCTACTATTCTCGACCTCCTCCCTGTTGCCCCTCCTTCTCCTCCCCACAAAGTGTGAAAATGCACGCTCAGTCCTGGGCAAATATTAACCCGGGGTGATGTTTCCAAGAGGGGAGATAAAACTGAGGGGAGTGAGAAGTGAGATGCAAGTCAAGAAGGACGAGAGGCAGGCCTGGTGCGTGTGAGATCGGCCCCCTCGTGCACCAGTCCGTGCACTCAAACCGACGTCATTGCACAGAAGTCAGCTCAGGGAGTCTGGTGGGGGTCGGCAAGGGGACAGACCTACCTCAACGGCCGGACCTGCCACCAAGAACTCAATAACTACTCCTCCTTCAGTTCAGGCTGGTAAGGAAGGGAAGCTGAGGAGGGAGAACCCAGTCAGAAGACTGTGTTTTGGCGTCCCCTGGCTGTGCAAAGGACCACGGGATAGAGAAGCTCGAGAAGAGCCAGAGGAGAAGCACAAGGGCGGTCCTGCTGGGTCTGGGAGGAAGTCGCCCCAGGACTCACAGCACCTTCCCCCAGCCTGGGTCATTGTGGGTCCCGGGGTTGAGTGGGCTGGGGATTCAGGCCAGGCTAAGTGCCACGTCAAGTGTGCAATGTCCAGGGGCAGGGCCCATAAGAGGGATTCTAAAACAATAATATTACAGAGATGGAATTATTGGTGACACCAGCTTCATTTTAAAGTCCCATTAACCTTAACCTGAAAGCACCTGTGATTTGGTGTCCAGGTTCCAGGTGCAGCCAGCTTCTGTCTAAGTGACTTTGGGGAGGTCACCTAACCCTTTCTGAGCCTCCGTGGAACCCTCTCTTAAATGGAGATGTTACTCCCAGTTCTCCCTACCTCTTAGGGGGATTGGTTGGTGAGTTAGATGAAGCCAACTCAATCATCCTCTCACGGGGCAGACACTATAAGGTTGGAGTAAGGGAAGGTAATACCGTAACTAAGGTCCCTGGGTGACAAAAATTTGCGCTGGACTACTAACCTAAAGGTTAGTGGTTCAAACTCACCCAACAGCACGACTGAAGAAAGTCCTGGCGATTGGCTTCCATAAACATTACAGCCAAGAAAGTTCTATGGAGCAGTTCTACTCCATAACACATGGGGTCACCATGAGTAAGAATCTACAGCAAAGAGTTCTTTTTTTTTTTTCTTCAATATGCCCTAAAGTTTGTGTGTGTGTGTGTGTTCCCCTTTTCCAACTAAGCCTCATGCCTATCCCCAGCACCAGAACAAGACAACTGCTTTGTCAAGATACAAAGAGCCAGGTACTTTCAGCCACACTCTTGGCTGGGAGATACACTCTCCAACGGTTCCACTGGGTTTACTAGGACTAATAATAATGACTGATCTTTGATCGTTTACTAGGCATTAAGCACTGTGTTTTAGGTAAATTCATTGTCTCTAAGCCTCACAACTACTCAGCAAGTTAGGTGTCACTTTACAGATTCGGAGTCCCTGTTCATCGTAACTCAAACGGTGCCAGACACAAGCTCCCTGGCCCAGCTCCAAGGAGTCCGATTCTCTCTTTAGACTTAAAGTCCCAGGGGGTTCCAACCTTAGGCCTAGGATACCATGAGAAAACGTTCTTCCAACAAAACGTTACTCTCTGCCGTCTCTTTGGGATCCACAACGGGAGAAGGGGAAGGAGACCCGGGCAGAGCGGGTCGTGAGTGGGTGCAGTTTTCCTAAATGAAGAAAAGGCCCTTTAACTCAAAGGGCTATGGAATTCCCGCTGGAAATGGGCTTCCTTGCAGTTAATCATCTGTGAGCCCCTTTGGATGCCTGATTCCAGAAGCCCCGAGCTCACACACAGGGTTACAAAGTCCTGGGCGTGTATTTGCCTAGCTCCAAGGATGTTATTCCTACGGATCCACTCCGCCCCTGCCCGCTCTCCTTTGGAGCAGCGCGAAACCCATTCCTTGGCTTTTTCAGGAAGTCTTCAGACCATTGCGTCCGGCCCCCTTCGACATCAAAGCCCCCCATGACAGCAAAGAACTTTGAAAACCTACGAAATACGCAGGCTTCTTATCGCGTCCCTGCTCCCTCCCGAGCAAGTCATAAATTCCGAGCCTCCGCGGCCGCCCTCTCTCCCCTCAGTTCTGCCGGCCCCAAGGTCTCAAAAGACAAACCTGTCACTTCCCGCCACGCCCCCGGGTCCTGGCCGGGGCCGACTGAAGCGGAGAGGGAGACGCGCAAGGTCTGGGACAGGTTGGAGGGACCGGCACAATGGGCGTCCCTGAGCCTCCGGGATCGCCCTGTGGCCCCCCCGCCACCGCCTGAGCCCCGGCACTCCCCCCTCCCGGCGGCTCCGGGACGCCTGGCTCACCCCGCCGTGCGCGCGACACGCCTCCTGGCGCCCCCCTGGCTGCTCGCGCGAGGCCGGCGCGGTGACGCCCCCGCGTGTGTCTGTGCTTTACCGCAGGCCAAGAGGGCATCCTGCGCTGCCACCCGCACCTGGCGGGCCGCGAGCTGCAGCGGGGCACGCTTGCGGCCGAGTCGCAGCGCGAGCAGAGCGCCGCGGGCCTGCAGAACCCGGGCACCGACGAGCGGCGCCGGCTGGCCAAGCTCAACGCGCAGTGCCGCGCACGCTTCGGTTTCCCCTTCGTGCTGGTCGCGCGCCTCCGTGACCCGGCGGTCGTGGCGCGCGAGCTGGAACGCCGGCTGCGCTGCCCGCCGGCGCAGGAGCTGCGCACCGCCCTGGGCGAGGTGAAGACCATCGGCCGCCTACGCCTCGCCGACCTGCTCGGCGCCGACTGCGCCCGGCTGTAGCGGGACCATCCCCGGGCCGCCGTCGGGCCACGCGGGGCCTGGCGCTCTGCGACCCGGGTCGAGGCTGACGCCCGCCGACAGGAACCGGGTCTACACGCGCGCACAATGTGAGGAACCAATGGAGGCCATCCTACGGCCCCTAAGCCCCTTCTGTCCCTTGGCTGATCCATTCCACCCCCTCCCGGACGCGTGGCCAGATGTTTAGTGCTGCGCCCCGATTTATTCCGCTCAACGCGTCAGCGCTGCGCTCCGTTTGCGACCTGGTGCCACCAGTCTTTGTGGATTCCCAGCGTTTATCCAGCTTGGCACCCCTCCCTCGCCTGCTAAGCCCGGGCTGAAAAGCAAAACGGCTAGAAAGCAATTCTTTGGTTCCCCAGCGGTTTGTCTGTTTGTTTTTCCTTCTCCCACCTCATTTGCTGCATTTACGTGTGAGCGGAAGGGCCTTTCTCACTCGGGGGCACCTACAGGAGCCTGAGCAAGAAAAGCCCAGCGCGGACTGAGGTCCTGAGGGCCAGGGAAGCCTCGGAGGGGCGTGGGCAGCGGAGAACCCCCAGCGCAGGGCCAGGGTGGGCAGGTGACCCGTGGGGCAGGGTGGGAGTGTCTCCAAACCGGCCGGGCCCCATGCCAATCCCGGAGGTCAGCCCGTGGGCGGTGGGCTCCGCAGAACGCCAGACTGATCGGGGGAAACCACCAGTCATTAAAATAATAATAATGTTCAATTGAGCAGCGCTGAGTTTTGTGGCTCCGGGATGACGGCGGGACTCCATAGTGCTGATGAGGCGGACAATGGAGGGAAATCGGTGCGCAGGGAAATCTTCCGGACAGAGTAAGCCGGCTCTGGGGAGCTTGCCAGCCCTGGTTTTCAGAGCCCTGGTGACGCAGTGATTAAGCTCGCCGAGATTGGAACCCACCAGCCACTCGGGGAGAAAGATGTGGCAGTCTGCTTCTGTAAAGATTGAAGCCTTAGAAACCCTATGGGGCAGTTCTACTCTGGCCTACAGCGTCGCTATGAGTCGGAATCAACTCACAGCAACCGGTTTGGTTTTTTGGCGGGCTGCGCAGCTCCCGCCCAGGCGGCCATAATGTCCCTTGGGGGATAGAAGATCAGCACCACGCCAGGGGGCCCACTACGTTTTCTCTCTCTCTCTCTCTCTCTCTCTCTCTCTCTCTCTCTCTCTCTCTCTCTC